TAGTAAGAGCCAGAAGTACTACCTACTAAAAAACCCAAAGTATCACTATGCCACAGTTGAGTGCAATGATCTTTGCCACAAAGCCAAGAAACCCAGATTCACTGCCATTAACTCTACAGGATAGAGGAGAACTGGCCAGGGTAGTTTCTGAGACTATCAAGCTTTATGGGAGCAGAGCTTTATTTTTCTCTCTTTGAGTGGCTGGTGGTTTCAAACTGCTGACTTTGTGGTTAGCAGCCCAACGTGTAACCACTATACCACCAGGGCTAATTTTTGCCATACCATCAAGAAAAAAATCACGGCTTAGGGAGACAGAGATACAGGGAGGAAAGCGGATGAGATATCGCTATGTTAAATATCCTGCGGCAATATTGCAGAAGCAAGACCACAAACGCATCAAACCAGTTGCCATCAAGTCGAATGGGACTCATAGCAACCCCATGTGTGTTGAGTTGAACTGTGCTCTGTAGGGTTTCTAATAACTGATTTTTCAAAAACAGACCACTGACCTTTCCTCCGAGGTGCTTCTGGGTGCCCCCAAAATTCCCAAGTGTCAGTTAGTAGTCAAGCAAGTTAACTGATCACACCACTCAGCAACTTCATAAATAAGCTTGTCTTATATATTAAAAAGTTCTACAGTTAAAGTAAGAGCTAAAGGAACACTAACCCCTAGCACAGATGGATAACATTTTCATGAATCCTCTTATAAGTCATGGTTTAATTTAACCCAGACCCTATCTAAAGTCCTGAGAAAAACATGTTCTTCTCCTATCCACCATGTAGCTCGGTTTGGAAGCAGGGCTCTTGTGTCTATAACCAATGTTGTACGTAAAGGGCAGCGTAGTGGGTAATGCTTGGGCTGGCTAACTGCAAGGTCAGCAGTTGGAAATCGACAGCCATTCTGTGGGAGAAAGATGAGGCTTTCTATTCTCGTAGAGTTACAGTCTCAGAAACTCAGAGGCAGCTCTACCCTCTCCTCCAGGGTCACAGGTGGATTGGCATCAACTTGACGGCAGTGAGTGAGACTTGGCTACTATTTTTTTTAAAAATGCATTTTCTTGGGGGCTAGTACAACTCTTACCAGAATCCATACATCCATCCATTGTGTCAAGCACATTTGTACACTTGTTGCCATAATTTTCAAAACATTTTCTTTCTACTTGAGCCCGTGGTGTCAGCTCATTTTCCCCCCTCCGTACTCCACCCTCCCTCCCTCACAAACCCTTGATAATTTAGAAATTATTATTTTTTCATGTCTTACACTGACCAATGTCTCCTTTCACCCACTTTTCTGTTGTCTGTCCCTCAGGGAGGGGGTTATATGTCGATCATTGTGATCTGTTCCCCCTTTCTTCCCCCACCTTCCCCTTCCCCTCCTGGTATCGCTACTCTCAATATTGGTCCTGAGGGGTTTATCTGTCCTGGATTCCTTGGGTTTCTGTACATATGCTCTCGTCTAGCTGGATTTGTAAGGTAGAATTGGGGTCATGATAGTGGGGGGAAGGAAGCATTAAAGAACTAGAGGAAAGTTGTATGTTTCATTGGTACTATACTGGGCCCTAAATGGCTCGTCTCTTCCTTGTGACCCTTCTGTAAGGGGATGTCCAATTGTCTACAGATGGGTTTTGGGTCTCCACTCCATACGCCCCCTCATTCACAATGATATGATTTTTTGTTCTGGGTCTTTGATGCCTGATACCTGATCCCATGGACACCTCATGATCACACAGGCTGGTGTGCTTCTTCCATGTGGACTTTGTTGCTTCTCAACTAGCTGGCCACTTATTTATCTTCAAGCCTCTAAGACCCCAGACTCTATATCTTTTGTTAGCAGGGCACCATCAGCTTTCTTCACCACACTTGCTTAAGCACCCATTTTGTCTTCAGAGATCCTGTCAGGAAGGTGAGCATCACGGAATGCCAGGTTACTAGAACAAAGTGCTCTTGTGTTGAGGGAGTACTTGAGTAGAGGCCCAATGTCTATCTGCTACCTAAATATTAAACCTATAAATATATGTACATAGATCTATTTCCCTATCATATATAAGCATATTTACATATGTACATGCTTATATTTGGACCTCTATAAATGAGACTTCGTTACTGTTATTGTCTACTTGATTCTCAGGGGTTTGGCAGGTACTCAACAGGTTGCTCTTCTGTAAAACAATATGATGTAATCACAATCTTTGATGCGGTCTGAGTTGATCAGCCAGTCAGCTGACAAGGGTCTTTCCTTGGGGGTATGCTCTGCTTTTACCTTATACAAGGGGTCTCCAAAGAGTTCCATTATCTTTTCATTCCATTTTCCCATGCACTCTTTGAAGGCCCCCATACATGGATGTTCTAGCGGAGCGTGCTCTCTACCCTGCATGCTTCTTGTTAGCTGACCTCTGGTTTCTGAAGGTAAGCCCACACAAGCCTCGGGCCTGCCGCCAGACCGCAGAGGTGAGGTTCAAGAGCTCTCAAAATCCAACCTCCATAATTGCATGAGCTATTTCCTGGAAGTAAATCCTTGAAGAAATGCTCTTGTGCTTGTTTGCTTACTCCTTCTCTCTCTCTCTCTACACACACACACACACACACACACACACACACACACACACACACACACACTCAATTCATGCCTGGTTGGTTTTGCTTTTCTGTAGAACCCAGACTAAGACCGTTCAACACGTCTCCAACCACAGCCACGCTGGCAGGAGAGGAGTCCAGGTGGCCTGTGCGCCACACTCAACACAAAACTGTTTCCAATTCCCACTCAGCCATTGGGTTGCTCCTTGCAGCACAGTTTTATTTTATACCTATTTAGATCTCATCCTCTGGGTTTATAAAAACGGCTTTCAAAATACCCAAATGAAACTTATTAGAACACGACTCCTTGAAATCTATTTAAACCAAGTTCTCAAGGTTTTAACATACACAGTTTCAAATGGAGACCATCACAGCCTGCTATCATTCAGCTAGCCTCCAATTCTGGTGATTTGAGCAGGGAGATGCTCCTGCATTGAGAAAAGACCCACTTTCCATCTGCTGCCCGCCCTCGCCTCAGTCTACCGGGTGGTCCAGAGAGAAAACACAGTTCCTATAGACAGCCTTATCCTTCCAGGTTCGGCTGGCCAGTTTGCCAACTCCCCCCCACCACTAATTTCAGATAAATGAGTAATATTTTACTGCAATTAAATCTCATTAATTATTGGGACATGCTCAAATTAAACTGCTCTTTGTTGTTTTTAACAAATACGACTCTAACCGGATATGCTGCCCTTCCAACTGGCACTCTGCTCTAGCCTCTAATCTCTTGGGGGAACCAGGGGTGCCTCCCAAGTCGGGGTGGTAACCACCAGCCTAGACATATGGCAAATGAATGACCCCCACTCTGGCCTTCCCCCTTTTTCTCCTTGCTCGCTTTTCTCCAGAGAGGCTCCTTGGCTCCCACCAGGCTCCAGTCAAACCCACTCCACTGCTTTCTGTGTGAGATGCTGCCCCCTGACTCTCTGGCCAGCCACTCCAAGGCACACCCTCTCACCTGACTCCCTCTCGCACTCAGGTACGTGCTGTCCAGAGGCTGCTATCAAGAATGCCCTGTTTCTGTGTGGCCCAGGTTGGGTTCCCAGGCAGGGCTGCAGATGGGCTGTGGAGGGGGCCTCAGATGGTAAGTTTCCTTTCATCTTTTCTTTCCCTCCTCCCTTGGTCTCTTAGTGGTGCTGTAGCAGGCACACCGGAAGGGGGTGGTCTTCAGGCACTGAACTTATTATCCCACAGCCAGGAGGCTAGAAGTCCAACTTCCGGGCACTGGCTCTATCCGTAGGCTCGGTGTCCCGGCGTCTCCACACCTGGCATTGCTGGGGTCCTCGGCGATCGCCATGTGGCTCTTATCTTTCCCCTCTCCACATGCTTCTCTCTGTGTCTACACTGCTCTTATTACATCACAAAAGCCAGTAGACTGAAGACACACCCACACGGAGATGGTCTCGTCTATAAATGGGATCACGTCTGTGGTTTGGAGTGGTTAGGATGCCAACACTGGTCAGGAAGGACATAATCCCATCTATAAGCTCCACATGGACTTCTTGTTTCAGATGCCGTGAGGGCATCGTCTCTGGTCGCTTGGGAAAGTGGGGCTCTCTGGTCCTCATTCCCAGACCTGAGCCAAAGGGAGGGCTGAGTAAGCATGTCCACCTGGCCTAACCGAAGGTATTATGGGCTTCTGCCCCAGCCCACAGACCCCACTGGCCCCGTCACTATTTTAGATTATTGACTAGTAGTCTGTGGCGCACCTCTCTCTAAAACAGTGGTTCTCAACCTTCCTAATGCCGCGACCCTTGAATACAGTTCCTCATGTTGTGGTGACCCCCCCAACCATAAAATTATTTTTGTTGCTACTTCACAACTGTCATTTTGCTACTGTTATGAATCAGGCAACCCCTGTGAAAGGGTCTTTCGACCCCCAAAGGGGTCATGACTCACAGGCTGAGAACTGCTGATCTAAAATGAACACATAGATTTAAGAGACACGCAGAGGAAAGAGCTCTTCCACTCAGCCTTGTGTGTGTGTGTCTGCGGCAGACCATTGACAGCACAGCTATAAAATGCATGGAAATATGGAGGAATCGCAGCACAACAATAAAAGGAGGAGTAAGATTAATGATGCCGTCATGCAGTCTGTTTTCATTGGGTGCAGAGAAAATTCATTTTTGAAGACATTTCATTTAACTTTGCAATATTTTTCAATTTAACCTTTGGTGCCTGAAACTTTTCTCTTTACACCCCCCTCCCCGCTCACAAGCTAAAGATGGGGGGTGAGTTTTATGTTGAGTTGTAAGCACGGCTTTGTGACAGATGATCGGCTTTTGCTTTCTCGGCTCTGGATGGAGACAAGAAAAGTACATCCTGGAAACAAAAGTTATTGCCCATTGTAATTTGCAGGGCCTCGCCTCCTAGCTGAACATCCACTGTCATAACCCGAAACACAGCTTCTGAAAGAATAAGATTGTTACCTTCCAGAGCAAGGCACCGGGGTGGGCTGGATGACCAGATCAGGTTGTGTAAGCACTCGAGATAGTCTGACCCCTCAAGCTTAAATCCGGGGAAGCAGTGATAGGAGATCACAGTGCCCACCGGGAAGGAGGTCTGGAACTCGGAGATGTTCACGTAGCCGTTAGAAGAGGCCAGTGGTCTCAGGCAGCCTGAGGGAGAGGGGAGAGGAGGGGAAAGGTGATCTGTCATTAGGAAGCATCTCACTCTGTCATCTTTGCACATCTACAAGGCACACAGTGCGGCAGGAGTGGCCATGGTACACGTGGCTCCGATGTTGAGGAGTGAATCACCCTAGACTTAAACACACAGGCTTCCTGATTCAAGGTGCTGTCAAGTCGGCTTTGACTCCTAGCAGCCCTAGTGAACCGCAAGGAAACACTGCCCGGGTCTGCCCCATCCTCACAGCTGACGTTACGTTCGCGGCTCCTTCTTGCAGCTGCTGTGTCGATCCACCTGCTTGAAGGCCTTCCTCCTGTCCCTGGCTCCCTTCTCTACCAGGTGTGCTGTCCTTCTGCAGATGCGTACCTTAGCGTTTCTATTCCCAAGTGGCACTAAGTGGGACAGATACACACATCAGTCATCCAAGAAGGTGGCAAGAGTGTACCCGAGGACTCGATTGCCCGAGTCCAGTGGCTGCCAGTCCTAACTGCTGGTCAGAATCGCCCGAGAAATAACGGCATCCCAGCTCCATGCCCCACAGGCCTGGTTTGGTTAGTCTGGGTAGTGCCTGGGCATCACTGTCTGTGATAGTTACGGTTTGGGGGCCAATATGGCACCTGCAAGAAGGTAAGGATGGAGTTTAGTCTGTCAATCAGGTTGCAGATTGATGACCTTCTCTGGAGGCCGGGCCCTCTCTCTCTCCCCCTCTCTCTCTGCCTTCACCTTCATGTCAGTGAGCCATCCTGGGACCGGCGAGAGCCCTGTGATGCTTCCACGATGACTGGATCTGCACTCTGCACCTACCGGCCTGAGATCTTCCTGCATCCTGCATCACTGCATGTGACTGCGTGATTCTGAAGAGGGACGTATGGACTAGTATCAGACTTACGGATTTGACCTGGTCTGGGTTGTTTTATTGATGCAGAATTACTTCTTGATAGAAAGGTCTTTCCTACACATAGCTGAGTGTCACTGGATTTGTCTCGCTAGTCAACCCGGCCTAACACAGCGTCTTTTTATTGTACTGGTCTTCCTTGTGGCCAAATGACTATTATGCTAGAAATGGACAACATTGTACTTCAGGACATGCCTTGAAATATCCCTTTTGTTGCTGTTTCTTTTTCTTCAAAATACTCACATGCATGGCAGAACATTCTCCAATCCAACCGTCTGCACATGCATTATTCAGTGACGCTGACCATGCCCTTCAGGCCCTGCCGTCACTCATCAACAAGCACTCACTGTCCCCACAGTTCCTATCTAGTCTTTGGGACTGCTACGGTACACGGAGAAAAGATTGAAGTTGTCAAGGTCTTGCTTGGACCCACCCTCAATGCTCATGGAAGCAGCTATCAAGAGAGCAAAGGACACCCTGCATTGAGTACACATGCCACACAACACCTCTTTCAGATGCCGAAGAGCAAGGAGGTTACTTTGAGGACTAAGGCGCGCCTGACCCAAGCCATACTATTTTTAATTGCCTCATATGTATGTGAAAGTCGAACACTGAATAAGGGAGACCGAAGAGGAATCGACGAGTTTGAATTATGGCACTGGCAAAGAATATTGGAGGTGCCACAGACTGCCAACAGAACAAACAAATCTGTCTTGGAACAACAGCCAGAATGCTCCTTACAGGCCAGGATGGTGAGACATCACCTCATGTACTCAGTCAGGAGACTGCTGCCCTGGAGAAGGGCATCATGCCTGGAAAATTAGATGGACTGATACCGTGGCTACTTTGATGGGCTGAACTATAAGAACATTTGTGAGAGTGGCCCAGAATTGTCCAGTGAGTCCTTTGGAATCGGAACCGTCTGGACAGAACCTAGCGACAACAGCATTGTCCATTTGACCCCATCTAGGCAGTTCTTAATGATCCAGGCAGATAAACCCATGGCCGTCAAGTCAATTCTTAGTCAGATCGACCCTAGAATTTCTGAGGCTATACATATTTAGGGAACAGACAGTCTCATCTTTCTCCTGAGAGAAGCTGGTGGGTTGGAAAAGCTGAATGCATGGTTAGCAGTCTCCCGCTTACCGGGCACAGCCACAAGGGCTCTCTCTCTCTCTTCAATTCAAACCAAACTCACTGCCATTGAGTTGACGCCGACTCATAGCAACACCGTAGGAAGGAGCAGAGCTTCCTCTGTGGGTTTCCAAGATTGCAGCTGCTCACAGGAGTAGAAAGCCTTTTCTTTCTCCTTTGGGGTAGCTGGTGCTTTCAAACTGCTGGCCTTGTGGTCAGCAGCCCAACCTATCACCCACTATGCCACCAGGGTTTCTCCTAGTTAAGCTAATTGTTTGGTTTTAAGAAGACTTCAGGGGACAGTTTTAAGGTTTAAAGATGAGCATTTCAGAAGTTCATCCAACCTTCATAGATCCAGAAAGTCTTAAGTCCAAGAGAATGTGAAATTCTATTCTGCAATTTCCCCTTTTCCCAGGGTTCTTCCACAGACTCTTTGACCAAAATAGTCAGCAATGGGAGGCCGCACCACCCAGCTCTGGTCTCAAGGCCAAGGAGGCAGTTGTTCAAGAGGCAAGTAGCCACACACTCCATTCCCTCCTCATATTGCTGACTCTCCTCCTTCTATTGCTCCCCAGGAGACCAATTGTCATGTTGTCAATAGCCACTTGCACACCTTTAAGAACCCAGGCACTACATAATGAATACGGAGGTGAAGCAGAAGCAGAAAGCATGTTATCAGGCCAATGAACTAGAGCCCTGCTGGTGTAGTGCTTACATGTTGGGCTGCTAACCACAAGGGCAGCAGCTTGAAACCACCAGCCAGTCCGAGGAAGAAAGATGAAGCTTCTTACTGTGGAAAAGAGTTAGAGTCTTGGAAACCCACAAGGGCAGTTTTACCCCATCCTACAGGGCTGCTACCAGGTGGCTTTGACTCAATGGCAGTTGAGCATAGGGCAATTAACTGTGATGTCCCATGGAACTATGACCTTCCATCTCCAAGCCAAGTAATTCGAATGCACCATCAGGGTTGAGAACCAATGAGGTGCTACAGAAGGCATCCCAGTGGTTTTAGTGGTTGTGGTGGATAGTTCGGGTTAAGATCTAAATGTAGTAAGTAGGATTTCCCCCACTAGTGGTATAGTGGTTACAAGTTGGGCTTCTAACTGCAGAGTCAGCAGTTCTAAACCACCAGCACTCCTGAGAAAGATGGAGCTTTATACTCCCATAAAGATTTACAGTCTTCCCCTGACACCAATCCCCATGCTCAGTGTAAACAGAGCTCAATCAGCTTAGAGAGTGATCTGTGCAGAGCAACAAGTAATGGGTTGTGGCTCGAGGTTGGCCCGTACTCGCAAAGACCCTTCACGTGGACCGTGTCTTGAGTTCTGTGTCACTGGAAATATTGTTGATGTTATCAATGCCTTATACCCCAGGGGGATGACTGACGCTTTCCTTTTTTGTTTCTTCTGCTTTTTGTTTATTTGTTCTGGTTTGATTGTTGAACTTGTGGGTTTTCTGTTTTTGTCATAATACGACTGTCAAAGAAAGGACAGTGGTTCATAACCTGGGGACAAGCAGATGGATTTGGGGCTCCCACTTAACTCTGGCCCCTACCCAAGAACAGTTAGTTCTGATAACATGGCCCTGCTCAATACTTGTCTTCATGAAATGATCACTGAAGATAAGGTGCTACAGCACAATGTGGTGAAGAAAGCAGATGGTGCCTGGCTATCAATTGGAACCGTGTCTGAGGTCTTTAAAGGCTTGTATTCAAACAAGCAGCCATGTAAAGGAAGCATCACCTAAGTCCACACAGAAGAAGCACACAGCTTGGGTGATCCAAAATAATAACAAAATCCAAATATGATGAAGGGAAAAGTATCAGAGCTTAACTTGTGAACTCCCACTTTGTAGAGCTATGGAGGGAGATTAGTGGGAGCCCAAAATCCATCTGTAGGAGTAGCTAGTCAGATGAAGCCTCTGACGGATCCCCTCTAGCCACAGGCAAGGGCCTTGAACAGCTTCACAATCAGACAGAGCACACTGTAGACATGATTATGGTGAATTGAACATGGTCTAACATGATACTTGGTCAGTTAACCTCCCTCTTGACCCAACCTGAATTTGTTCTAGGTTCAAGTATCTCATGCTTGTTCCATGGCAGACATTTCTTCTCTGACTTTTAAAATATTTATGGTGGTATTTTCTTTTTGAATCTTTATCTTGATGTTATTATTTTTTCTTCCTTCTTTCTGTTTTATTTTGTTTCTGTTCTTTATTGTTTCGGTTGGTTTCCCAGCTTGTGAAGCACTGAAGGAGTAGATGCATAGAGACAATGCCTGATGTAATGGTTTAATGGAATGCGTTGGGTGGGTGGGAGGTTGGGAGGGGGAGGGGATTTGGGGAGCAAACAATGAATGTGGGAGGGGGGAGGGAGTGCTAGAACTGATTCTGATGATGTACAGACAGCTCATTTAAGTTTCGATTTAACCATGGAAGTCTATGATATGTGAATATAATATTAAGAAAACTACTAAAGCAAACAAACTTGATCAATGGCTATCGTGGGTGAAGGGGAAAGAGTTGTTGCTTAGGGGCATTGAGTTGAGGTCAATGGTGATAGAATAATTCGGAAAAAGATATCAATAATGGTTGTACAACACAAAGAGTATAACCAATGGCACTGAATTACACAGGTAGATGTTGTGGAATTAAAGAATGTTTTGTTGTGTCTATTTTTGCCACAATTAGAAAAAAAATAATTACATGAATAATGATGAATGAGGAAAAAGGGAATGTTCTAGGATTGAATATATGATGACAACTGTACAACTCTCTTGATGTAATTGAATTATTGCATTGCATGACATGTGGATGAAATGCTAAAAAAACTGTTAAAAAAAAAAAAGAATTACAGTCTTGGAGACCCACAGGGGCAGTTCTACACTGTCCTTTTGGTCTCTGTGAGTCGGCACCAAGTCAATGGCAGCGAGTTTTGGTTTTGATTCAAATGTAACTCCA